TCCGCGCGCAGCGGGGTGCAGGAGGGGCGGGGCTTGCGGCGGTTGGGGCGGGGCCGCACGGGGGGCGGAGCCTGCTGGGGCGGGGCCTCCAGCGGGAGGGGCGGGGTCTTCGTGGAAGGGCGGAGACTGGGAGAGAGGCGCGGGTCCTCAGCAAGGGGTGAGGGGGCCTAGGTTGGAAAATATGGAAGGAGCTTGTCGGCCGGGCGGTGGTGGCGCACGCCTTCAATCCCAGCACTCGGGAGGCAGAGGCAGGCGGATCTCTGTGAGTTGGAGGCCAGCCTGGGCTACAGAGTGAGTTCCAGGAAAGGCGCAAAACTACACAGAGAAACCCTGTCTCGAAAAAACAAAAAAAAACAAAAACAAAAAAAAAAAAATGGAAGGAACTTGTTATGGTTCGTGGGAAAGTGGGGTCCAGGGAGACAAGAGAGGCCCAGAGTGCGGTGCGGAGTTTGACTAAGGTGTGGCTTAGAGAAAAGTCCGCCATGGCAACCCCCACCCCACCATGTAGGTTTGTAGTTTTGGGAGTTTTAGTGGAACTATCAGGTCTTTAACATGAGAAAATGATAGGGAAAGGAGATGATCGAAGAAAAATGGGGCTTCTTTGGAGAAAAAGTTGGGTGGGATCTGGAGGCAGGTCTCAGTGAAGATCTAACTTCGAAAAGTCAAATTAGCTTGGAAGTGCATGGGAATAAAGGAACTGAGAGGAACTTACATATCCAAGCTGCTCGGTTAATTCTTTGCAGTGCCTCGGCCCTCCCTAAGTACGTTGGCCGTGTTGCTACAGTTTTACTTAACTGCAACCCTCGCTGTGTGAGGTGGGCACTAGTGTACCCATTTCATAGGTGAAGCTGCAGAACCAGTGTGAGCTCCCTACAAGAATGAGACGAACGTGCTCAGCCCCAAATCCTTGTGTTTCAGTGACTTGTCTTTGAAGAAGAGTTAGAAGAAGAAGAAGTCTGTCGAGGAATACCGAATGCTTAGGGAGCAGAGGGAGGGCCTGGGGAGGAGGCAGCCCAGACCCGAGCAAGAGTAGGAAGGCCTTAATTTGTAGTGGGCCGGGCTTGGAGAGCATTGAGAGAGAGCCTTCAAAAAGCCTTGCTTTTGAGGAAGAAGCGGATGGAAGTGGCCGGGGAGATAGAGGAGGAGGGGGTTTTGTAGAGAGCGGGAGGGATGTAAAGCGCAGTGCTCGTGGTTAGGTGTGTCTTAGCATCGGGAGGGTCTCCGGAGGACAGGCGTGTTTCTGAGCCCAGAGAGCTAAGGGAGAGAACGGCCAGTGCGGAGGTGACCCTGACCTGCTTCTGTGCCTCCTCTGTACTCCAGAGAACGCCCCCAGCCACCCCTGGACCCGCCACCATGGACGAGTCCGCGCTGCCTGGGGTTCCTGCCCCTCTTGCTGCCCCAGGGCCAGCCCCGTCGGCCACGGCTCCCCGGGTGCCCTTTCACTGCAGCGAATGTGGCAAGAGCTTCCGGTACCGCTCGGACCTGCGGCGCCACTTCGCTCGGCACACCGCGCTCAAGCCCCACGCGTGTCCTCGCTGTGGCAAGGGCTTTAAGCACAGCTTCAACCTGGCTAACCACCTCCGCTCACACACGGGCGAGCGGCCCTACCGATGCTCCGCCTGCCCCAAGGGATTCCGAGACTCCACTGGCCTGCTGCACCACCAGGTGAGTCCTGGGAGCCGCCCGGGGCGGGGCCGAGACGGTGGGGCTCCGATCCACTCGGGAAGGCAGCAGGAGATGGGAGCAACTCCTTCTCCAGCTTCCCTCCCTTCTACCAAAGCCTGAGCTCCAGGGGAGGCCTGCGGAGTACGTCTGCCCCACATAATTGTTTCTCCACCCCTGCAGCCTTGTGCTGACCATTCTCTTCCTGACCATCTTGAAAATAGGTTTATCCATGCACACCCAACTCCTTTATTCTAAAGTGACCACAGGACTTTCCCCCACAGGACACGGGCCTTCAGGGGAACTCAACAGGCCCTTCAGGAAACTTACTATTCCTTCCAATGATCAGGAACCAGGTAGCGGGTAAAGAAAGCAGTTTCTGAGAAAAGAGTTCTCTAAGGGAGAAGTTGGGAATCAAATTTAAAAAAAAAATCAGGGCACGGTCATGCATTCTTACAATCCCAGTGCATGGGAGGTGGAGGCAGGAGGATCAGGAGTTCAAGGTCAGCCTCGGCTACACAGAGTTTGGAGCCAGCTCAGGCTATATGGGACCCTGTCACAAACATCAAAGCCAAAAGTAATGTGTAGGAGTAAATCGGGGGAGCCGCGGGCCACTGTACACAAGAGGGCGCAGTGACGTCTGATTGAGACTTGAAGCAGGAGAAGTCCCCGTGGGAAAAGCATTTGCAGATGGGAACGGCCGCAAGTGCAAAGGCCCCGAGGTGGGAAGGGCCTTGGTGAGTTCACGGGTGTTGCTTTAACTTCTCCTGGGGGGAAACAACTAACACATTCACCCAGGCAGGACACTAAAGGAAGACCAAAGTCCAGTTTGGCAAGTCGGAGTTTAATTGGGGTTACTCAGAGAGCACATGGGCTGGAGAGATGGCTCAGCGGTTCAGAGCACTGGCTGCTCTTGCAGAGGTCCTGAGTTCAATTCCCAGCAACCACATGGCGGCTCACAACCATCTGTAGTGAGATCTGGCGCCCTCTTCTGGCCTGCAGGGATACACGCAGACAGAACACTGTACACATAATAAATAATTAAATCTTAAACAAACAAACAGCATCTCAGAGAGCACAGGCGAGGTTTTGCAGTGTGTGACCCACGAGGGTCATTACCACAAGGCCCGTGCCACCAGGGGTGATGGTCTGGTGGAGGCTGCACAGTGGAGACCCACGTTCAGTTACCTTCCACTTCCTAAAACCTCACAAGGCCCCTGGCAGCCGGGGAGAGAAATAGCCGGAGTCCCAGGAGCAGCCTCGGCTTCCTGGCTCAGGTGTTCTCCTATCGATAGACAACAAACAAAAACAACCAGCATCTTAACACACATGCTGTTGGGGAAGCACCTGGTTGGGACACTGTCCAGCGCACTGTGGTCCATTTGGCAAAGGGAAAAAGCGGAGTTCACAGAGAAGAGAGAGAGGTGGGATTTGAACTCAGGCCTGTGGATGCCTGGAGCTCTGGCCATAGCTATGTTCTGTGGGAATCAGTTCCTAGATGAGCGGGTTGGAAGGGAACAGTGACAGAGGTGGCCGGTGTAAGGGACTAGGTCCTCACGGAGAGAATGCCAGCTGGCCTACAGCCGGGCTGGGACTGGGGAGTTGGGGTCCCCTTGTGAGGCTCCCACTCTCTTGGACAAAAGAATTTAAAAGCAGTTAGAAGCTTAGGAATCATTTTATTAGAATTTATTAGAATTTGAAAGAAAAATAGGAAAGGGCAGCTATAAATCTTGGCAGCTCTGGGGCGTGGCTGGGGGCTGGAGAGGCAGAAGGGGGGCGAGAAAGACATCCCTTCCTAGTTAGTCCAGGAGAGAAGGCAGCAGGTTCACCACTGAAGGTCTGCAAGCAGCCACGTGGGGGTGCCTCTTCAGACAGAGTGGAGTAGTCCAGAGTGTCAGGACAGGCGTGCTGAGGATCTGGGCTGGTATCCGGAGAAGAGACAGAAAGTAGAAAAGGAGCCGGCGGTGGTGGCGCAGGCCTTTAATCCCAGCACTCAGGAGGCAGAGGCAGGCGGATCTCTGAGTTCAAGGCCAGCCTGGGCTACCAAGTGAGTTCCAGGACAGCCAGGCCTGTTACCCAGAGAAATCCTGTCTCAAAAAACCAAGAAAATCACACAACCCAGGGAGGGCTTCTGAAGAGGGTGAGTATGTTACCTCATTAAGGAGATAATTATTCCTCCCATCTCCTTAGCTGTTTCTTGGCCGGGTATTTGACAGGCCCAGTTGGTTGAACTCTTAGGGAGAAGACAGTAGTACGTAGTGTAGAGGGAATGTAGAATGTAGTGTCTCCACCCAGGCCCAAAGTAGAATTTAGAAATTTAGATCCTATTCTTTTTTTTAGATTTATGTATTTATTGTGCGTATGGGTGTTTTGCTGGCATGTATGTCTGTGGGCTACACTCACTCCTGGTGCTCCAGTGGGTCAGAAGAGAGCATCAGATCCCCCAGAACTGGAGCTACAGACAGCTATGAGCTGCCATGTGGGTGCTGGGGATCGAACCCAGGTCCTCTGCAGGAGCAGCAAGTGCTCTTAACTGCTAAACCATCTCTCTAGCATCTCTGTTGTTTCTTTAAAATATTTTTATTTCATTATTTGTTGTTTGATTGATTATTTTGTGACTGGGTTTCATGATGTAGTCCCGACGGGCTTCCAACTCACAGGATTGGCCTGCCTCTGCCTCCTGCCTCTCAAGTGCGGGAAGGAAAGGCTTGTACCAACGTGCCCCGCTCCGTTATTTTTATACAGGGTAGGATGTGCCACATCTCACCTTACAGGAGTTGGTCCTCTCTCTTTCCACCACATGGATCCCAGGGACCAAACTCAGGTCACCAGGCTTCCATGCAAGTATCTTTACCCGCTGGACCATGTTGCTAACCCAGATTCAATCCTTTTGGCTAGGAGGGGGTAGCTTTCATGTAAACGACCTCGGTGAAGCCCTCCTGCTGCTTCTTCATGGTGTTTTAACTTTTCATGAGGGGTGAAGCTTTCCTTAACAAGGAGGTGGGGTCCCTTCCCGGTGGCCTCCACGCCTGCTGATGCCTGTCTGGTGACCTAACGGAGGACAGCGGGCGAAAGCCAGCCCATCCTGGGAACCTGCTGCCCGGCCTGGGCGCTCAGCCCTACCTCTCTGCTCTTGCTCCCAGGTCGTCCACACCGGTGAGAAGCCCTACTGCTGTTTGGTCTGCGAGCTCCGCTTCTCCTCCCGCTCCAGCCTGGGCCGCCACCTCAAGCGGCAGCACCGGGGCGTGCTTCCCTCCCCCCTGCAGCCGAGCCCCGGCCTGCCTCCCCTGAACTCCCCCTGCTCAGTATGTTGCAACGTGGGTCCCTGTTCGGTTTGTGGAGGCGGAGGGGCCGGCGGAGGAGAGGGCCTGGAGGGAGCAGGAGCGACCAGCTGGGGACTGGCCGAGGCGGCAGCCGCCGCGGCGGCCTCGCTGCCCCCGTTTGCATGCGGCGCCTGTGCCCGGCGCTTCGACCACGGCCGGGAGCTGGCTGCCCACTGGGCCGCGCACACCGACGTGAAGCCGTTCAAGTGCCCGCGCTGCGAGCGCGACTTCAACGCGCCGGCGCTGCTGGAACGCCACAAGCTGACGCACGACCTGCAGGGGAGCAGTGCACCCCCAGCGCAGGTCTGGGCCTCGGGTGGGGGTCCGGAGGAGGTGGCAGGAGATGTCGAGGCAGTGGAGGTGGGGGATGCCCCGCCGACCTGGGACGCCGGGCTGCTCCTGAGCCCCACTGGCGCAAGCATGCCTAAGCTGGAGACACTGCTCCCCGAGGGCGAGGGCGAGGGCGCGGAGAATGCCCGGGCTCCGGCCGCAGCAGCCGAGGCGTCCTCGGAAGACACGCTGTACCAGTGCGACTGCGGGACCTTCTTCGCGTCTGCCCCGGCCTTGGCCAGCCACCTAGAAGCGCACTCGGGCCCAGCCACCTATGGCTGCGGCCACTGCGGGGCGTTGTACGCCGCGCTGGCCGCCCTGGAGGAGCATCGGCGCGCCAGCCACGGGGAGGGCAGTGGGGAGGCGGCCCCTGATGGCGAAGGCGAGCAGGCGGCTGGAGGGCCGGGGCCCGGCTCCTCCAGCCGTGGCAAGAAAATCTTTGGCTGTTCGGAGTGCGAGAAGCTGTTCCGTTCCCCTCGCGACCTGGAGCGGCATGTGCTGGTGCACACAGGGGAGAAGCCCTTCCCGTGCCTGGAGTGTGGCAAGTTCTTCCGCCACGAGTGCTACCTCAAGCGCCACCGGCTGCTGCATGGCACAGAGCGGCCCTTCCCCTGCCACATCTGCGGCAAGGGCTTCATCACGCTCAGCAATCTCTCCAGGCACCTGAAGCTGCACAGGGGCATGGACTGAATAGCCAGGCCACTCCGGCCCTCCAAGTCCAGAGCTAGACCATAAGGTGAGGCCCTTGCCTGGAAAAATGGTGCCACCCAGAACCCACACAGGACCACAGTGAGGCATCCTTCGGCAAAGGGGTCCAAGGACATAATTGTTGGGGACTGAAATCTACAGAGAGACTCTTGACTTTGAGAACCCTGGAATGGGGGCATGCTCAGATCAACTGGCCTCCGAGACTGGGAACCTAGGAATAAAAAACGGGTCTCCACTAACACCTCCCAGCAGATAATATGTGGGCACCCCCATGGTCCTACCACCCACTCCCCGAGAGCCATCATTCCCAACGACGTTCATCTGGGGGATGTCGGGGACAATATCTTGGAATCCTCAGGATCCCCTCCAGATGCCACCTGTCAGCCACTGGTGGCCCCAGAAAATGAGTATAGCCAGAATCTGCCTTTCCCCCATTTTACTTCCTATGCTGAAAGAGGACCAGGGTAGATGCCCCCACCTTCCATTAACTACTCTCAGATTAGGTCTCCCTTACCGCAGAATGGTCTGACCCTACTGATCTCCCCTCATCTTGAACACTAGTTTAGACTGGCCCAAAGCCGCTGCCCTGTAGGTTGGATTGACCCAGATACACGTATTCCTGTGCACTTGGAATGGGCTGGTGCAGGCTGTGGCCTGGCTCCACTCTCCTTAGAGTAATAGGGCAGACATTCCCTTAGGCTGTAGAGCGCAGTCCTCTGTCCACGGTTGTCCCAATCCTGTGACCTGGTGGAGGTGGTAGACATTGGGGTCTCCCTCCACTCATCTGTAGTACCTGTTGGTCTTTCCATCACCACCAACTGTCTCTGTGTTCCAACCCCAAGAGGAAAGGGGGACTTGGCTAGGGGTTTTTCTCCCATGAGCTTTGACCTCACCCCCTGGTCTCTCCAATGTCTCTGGGACTCCAATAAACCTCATTCTGTCAGTCTCTACTGTCTTGTTTGCTGATCCTGGGTTTCAGGGAGGTGGGACTCTCTCCCTCTTGGACTTAGAATATGTCCCCTAGGATATAAAGAGACGGCTCAACAGTTAAAAATGCATACTGTCGGGATCAGAGTCCAGTTCCTGGCACCCACATCAGGCTGCTCATAACCACCTGTAACCAAGCTCCAGCAGATCCAGTATTCTCTTGTGGCCGCCATGAGCATTGCGCTGACATGCACAAACCCACACACATATACACATCATCCTCCATGAGCATTGCTCACAGGCACAAACCCGCATACACATCATTTCTTTTTAATCTTTAATAGGTTCACTAGATATCGGTCTTTGAGGGAGAGTCAAGAGTCCCTGCCCCTTTCTGTGGATTTATAAGCAGTTAATGGTTGGTGGGGGGGTGGGAGGTGGGGTGATGACTCACAAGGTCCCGCCACTCCCTGAGCATAGGCAGTTAGTTAATGACTGGTGGGGAAGGGAGAGACTCTCCTCAGTGTAGTTACTCCTAAGTTGCCCACACTCCTGTAAGTTCCCAGATCCTCACACCCTCTCAGTCCTTCGGATCAGAGACAGTTTACATCTCACCTAAGTGGCACCATCTAGAAGTCGAGAGACACCCCCACAGGACATGTCCATTGGAAACCAAGCAGTCCCTGGAAGAGGCTCCAGGCCTTAGGGTCTGTTTTCTGATGATGAATGTGTACTGCCTGGGACAGGACCAGCCCATCAGAGAAGAGGGCCGCTCACGCATGCTCCATGCACTCCTGTGCCTTGCCTCCATACTGAGCCTTCTGAACTCCGGATGGCAGAGCCCGCACTGAACAAAGCAGAGAATACTATTCCATCGTGCGGGCAGTGCTCGGGGAGAGGGAGGGAGGGAGAAGTCGGGCGAAGATGCTAATGGTGACGAACACCTTCGCAGCAATGAGGGAGAGCCTTGAGAAAGTGGCCGCAGCTGCTTCAGGTGCAGGCCTGTTACTCAAGAGATCGAGGCAGGAAGCGCAGAAGTCCAACGCCAGCCCGGATGGCTTGGAACCCGACTCAGTAGTAAAAGGTTGTGCTGGGGAGAGAGCGCAGTCGGGAAAGGCTTAATTGAAAAGCATGAGGGCCTGAGTTCAGTCTCCAGAGCTCACACAAAAATTCCAGGTGTGGGGAAGCTGGAGAAACAGAAACAGGATCCCTGGGGTTCACTGCTCAGTCAGTCTAGCTTTATTTGTGAGGTCCAGGCCAGCAAGAAAGCCTGTCTCAAAGGACATGAACACATTGTCATCAATGGCTCCTGAGGTTGTCTTCTGGCTTCTTTCCACACTCATGTGACACTCCTATACATAACTGTACACACACACACACACACACACACACACACACACACACACACACTGAATAGCCAGAGCACACCATCTTAGATAGGATGGCCCAGACAGAGGGCTTCTCCATTAGCCTGGTCCTTGAAGGGGGACTTGTTGGAGATACCTAGATAGGTACAGGAGGAGAATGAGTTCAAGAAAGGAGGGGAGGAGGAGTTGGCATCCACATTCTGCATCACATCTCTGTGCTAAGCGACCCTTCTGTGCTAGTCATTATAAAACCTGTGAGAACTCTT